CTAGGGAGCAGGTAGTTTTGGAAGAATGGCGCACCATTATTAAAAGTTTACACAATCACTTTTGAGTTGACTATAAATATTTCACGAGAGGCAGGTGGGATTAGGTTTTCCGGGTGGTTTCCTGAGGCCACAACAAATCCAGCCTTTCCTGGAGAATCACACATTCCGAGAGTTATCCACAGCTGAGGAGCGGGGGATTGCATGCCGGTGCTCTGAAGAGCCTGATAACCCAGAAAGCATGGAAACGGCCAGGTGGTTGGATGATTCCAAGTCTCAAATATGCTCCCGAGGTGAGCGCCAAGTCACAAGCTCGAATGACAAGTCACCAGGGCCCTGGGGACAGTGAATATAAGTAAGGACCACTTAGAGCGCCCATGGACAAGCGTTCCTCACACAGGGACCATCTTCCTTCAACACCTTCTCCCCCAGCACGGCATCTACACAGCTTCAGCTTCAGTGCCCAGGGAGCTTCAGTGCCCAGGGAGTTAGGCGTGGCATCCGCCTCTCCATGTAGCCCCAGATCATGACGACAGCTTATGCTAACCCCAGCCCCCGAAGTCTCTGTTGACAATGCCAGTCTCCAGGGAATCTGGATTTTACTGTGATGACTTCGGGGTCCTGCTCCAGACTGACCCGAGTTTTTGGGAACAAGCTATTTTGCTTTAGCTGGACACCTGCGATCCCCACCCTGGGGAGGCAGCGGCAGAAAACCGTTGCAAATTTGAGGCCAGGGAAGGCATCACAGCAAGAAGCTGCCTCAAAACCAAAAGGCAGGCATCTTGATCTAAATCCTCCCAGGGTGTGAGGCTGTGCCGTGCAGCAGATGTACGCCATGTGTGAGGCCTTGGGCTTGAGCCCGAGGATCCAAGACACCTAACTATCCTTCACGCCACTACTTAATCAAAACCACCATCACAAATATAACTAGACTGAAGAATCCCTAACAGCTTTAGAGAAAATAATGAAGATTGTAAAGCAGGTCAAACGCATTTTCGGGAGGCCGATTTTCCCATAATGGCAGAAAAGCTGGGTTTAGGCCTCTGTGGCGTCAAGCTGTGCCTGAGAGCTAAGTGCGATGAAATCATGGATGGCTCCAGGGCCTGCTTCCCCATCCTCCTGCATTCCTCTATCGCCTGTTCCAAGCATTTGCTCCAGCCGCCTGCCAGCCTTGGATGGGCCACAGGCCTAAGCTTACCACCGGACAGCGACAACAGAGACCCTCACAGAACCGGAAGCACCTGAATGTACTTTCAGGGCTGCAAAGCACTGCTTGGGCCCAGCAGAACCCAGACTTATGCTAACGAGCCAAAAAGTAGAAGCAGCTGGCAAGAGTGATTCAGTCCCATAAATTTACACATCCACACAGCCAAACCCACTTGAAGCAATGCAGATCCGCTTTTATTGAAATAGAAAAGATGGCTATTCTGGAGCACCACTTGCTAGAGAAGGGCACATAGGAGATAATCTCATGCTGTCCTTGATGTGGTGCTAGGGAGATGACCCAGGACCTCATGCATACCTGCCAGGCCCTCTACCTCCAGGGTACACCCACAACCTCTACACACACACACACACACACACACACACACACACACACACACACACACACACGTGTGCTGGCATGAGTAAGAAATGGCCCCTAAAACCTCACAGGCACACTTGCCTGTGGTGCGCTGTCTGGGGAGGCTGTGGAGCCTTTTGGGGGTGGAGTCTTGAGGGAGTATGTCAGTGGGTGTGGGCTTTGAGAGTTGGTTGCCTTGCTCCACTTCCGCTGCTTCCTTCCTGTGTCGGGCTGAGGCGTGATCTTGGGTTTCCCGCTGCCATGTTCCCCGGCCATTGTGGACATTTGGCCCTCTGGAACCATAAGCCAAAGCAAACTCTCACTGATGTTGCTTTTGGTCACGGAGCTGAATCACAGCAATGGAGAAGTAATACAAACAGAAAAGGGGCAGCCAGCTAAGCAAGCGATTGTCACTGGTTGTTTGGGATTATAGGTGATTTCGGTTATCTCATTTTATTTATTTATGTGGTACTGGGAATCTCAGTACCACATGACATGTGTGTACTTTATCACTGACATGTCTCAGGCCTCTGTGTATCATCTATTTTCTTAAGACAAGGTCTCATTACATCACCCAGATTGGCCTGAGCTTGCAATTCTCCTGCCTCTGCTCAGGGATATGGGATCTCTGGGTAGCTGGTTTTGTTTTTCCCTTATCTTTCCACAGTGAATATGGATTACTTGTGTATAAAAATCTGATGGCCTGACTGCCTCCTGTCCCTTTAATGAACATCAACGACATTTAGCATCGGTCTCTCCCGAAACCCTTGGACAAATAATTAAATACTAAACTCTGTTCTCCCAGAGTGCTGTGACCCTTTAACACAGTTCCTCATGTTGTGGGGACTCCCAACCACACTATTTTCATTGCTGCTTCATAACTCTTAAATATCTGGTCTTAGTTGACCCCTGTGAAAGGGCCTTTAGACCCCAAGGGGATCATGACCCACAGGTTCAGAACCACGGTTTAGAGAAAACCAATTCTTTCCAAATGTTCTTTATAAAAGACAGGAAAGAGACATGCACACAAGCCTGCCTTTGAGATGAGGAAACAATCTAACAGGGAAAGGTGACCCTTGTAACAGGTTCAGAGGAGGAAAAGGCTAAGGGACCAGCTTCTTTTTCTGTAAATAAATCCTTGGCAGTCAGATCACTAAAGAAACACAAGTCAATAGAAGCCTTTAGACACGGGGCTGCCAAACTTCACTTTTCGACAGTATATTAATTATGTAGTCAATAGCCATGGGTTTCATTAGTGTATTAAATACCATGATCAATATTATTTATACTTTTCGAAGACAGTCCACTCAGGAAAAAAATGGTGGGGGAAGAAGGCGGAGCAATTTGACCCTATGGTTCAAAAAAAAAAAAAAAAAAGTCAGAACAGCACACTAGAGATTAGCAAGGCTTTAATGGAAGGCATAAAACTCTGAAAACATGGACAGAAATCAGATCATCACCTTCTTTTTTCTGCCTCCCTTACAATGAGACTGGAGGGAATTCAGGAACCTTTTAAAATAAAGGCAAGATGATTAGAGCCCCACCCCCACCTCATTGCTGGTGTCATTGATTTCTAAGTGACAGATGAGGAGAACTCAAACAGCCTTCCGAGGTAAACTGTGTCCAGGAGAATTCCAAGAACTGTGGGCCGGAGTCTGCCCAGGCTGGCCTTCGGGACCTGAATCTCTCACAGGCGTTAACAGTGGAACCAATCTAAGGCGGCCCTGCTGGTGATCTGATTTTAGTAGGAAAATCTGTTAAACCTGGTCCCACGAGGGAGCCCATCCCTCCCAATCCCACGGGTTTCTATGCTAGCTGTGCAGCTGTGCTAGCCTGAAGCGGCTGGGGATAGAGTGCAGGACTGGTTGAGCGAGCTCCGCCTGCATGCTGCTGACCGGCGCTCCGCACGGGGGAAGATGTAAAGGGCTGGCTGCCGCACAGAGAGCGGAGAGCTGGATCACCATCTCCAACCGGCAGTTTGTCAATCTCGGACAGCACCGAAGCCTGATTTTCTAGTCAAAGCGTTATAAGCAAGGCCAGACAGAGCCTCTGAAAAACTGCCCAGGCTTCAGCAGGAAAAGCAAGTGTAGCTCAGTTCCTGTCTCCTGAGATCAGGAAAAGGGAAAGGAGGGCTGCCTCTGACACCAGCGAGCTCAATCGAAGTCCTCAGTAAGGGTGAGCCATTTGCCTAGGGCTGCCTCGTTCATTCCAAAAGAAAACAGCTAGGAGCCAGGGATACGGTGCAGGGCTGTGATGTCAGCGGTTGAAGACTGAAACAGGAGGATCATGACTTCAAGGTCAGCTTGGGCAATACAGCAAGCTAGAAGATACCCACTTTAAGACTCTGCCCAACAAAACAAAGCAAATAAGCCAGGCACGGTGGTAGATGCCTGTTTCTAGTGTACCGGTGAGGAAGGGAGGCTCAAGCCCGAGGCCGTGGGCTACACAGGGAAGACGGCACCTCAAAACCAGCACAGCTAAGAAGACAGGTGTAGCGGTTAACCGTGCCAATCTAAAACCCATATAACCAGATTTAAAATAACCTTAGAGACTGGTCTGTGAGGCCTTTCCAGAGAGACTGACTAAGGAAACACCCACCCTGAGGGGGAAGGAGAAAGCTCAGCTGGCCGTGTCTCCGGAGCCCCAGGCCAGGCCAGCGAGGGCGCCGTTGGCACACCACACCTGCCCTCACACCAAGTGGAAAGAGCGAAGCAGTAGCATGCACTGCCTCTTCCTCAGGACAAATGCAGTGACTGGCTGTGCTGCACTCCTGTCGCCACGGCCGGTTGTTCTCTGGCTTCTCAGCGTGATGGCTGGTACCCTCAGACTATGAGCCAGAAGAAGCCGTTCCTCCTGGAAGCTGCTCTTGACAGGAGAACAACTAAAACACGGGGTGCTGTGGCTCCTCGGCAACACGGAGCCACCACAGCCACGAGCCTAAGTGCACAGGTTGAAAGCCAGGCCTGCAGCTGCGGGGACCGCAATGCTGCCCGGATACTGGCAGAGATGTGCAGCAAATGCCAAGAGGTGGCTGCAGCAACCAGATAGATAATGGATATGATTAGGAACACACAGAGCAAGCACGCTCTTGTCGAGTGAAAAGCCTCGTAGCATAATTACTGTTTTCTTCCCCGCTCACTGTCTCCACATTTCAAAGCCGGCTTGGTGTTAGGCCGCTGTGTAAACATCAACACAGTCCCAAAGTGCTGGATCATCAGCATTCCTGGGCTCAATGGCTTTTCCTTTTTTGTGTTTTCATTCCTTTAAAGATGCATTTCAGGGTTGCAGACATTAGAAAGACTGATTTCTAGGCCTCAGTCTAATCTCTGAGTTTGTAATGAGTTAACATCTCTCCCTAGTGAATATTTATTATGAAAGCTAATTAATTGCTTTCCAGTTACAAGAACCCTTTACAGTCAAAGAAAGTAGGATCCACAAACAAAGATATACTGTTTATTCAAACAAAGCAAGGAGAACAAAGGGCTTCTCTCTTAAATTCTATTTAACACAGCTTTAATAAAAAACGAAATAGACTAATGCAAAAAAAAAATGTCCAGGTAAAGACATGTGCGCCTGGCAACCAAATGCAGCATTAATTCAAGGGAAAACTCAAGCAATGCTTTGTAGTTGTCTGGATGTCCCTAAGGGCCAGCAAGTCAATGCTTATCAGCCATCCTCAGAAGAGACAATTTTGATTACTATCAGACCCATCTGACTCAGTCTATTAAATCTATTAAGCCCTGAAGGAAGGATATTCAGATATTAAGGATAGGCCTTTGATTAATAATTCTACCCTTTTGCCATTCCAAGCATTAGCAACCATGTGGTACCTCAGCAAAGATTGAGCCTGTGATTCCAGAGAGAGACACCCCCTAGACACCTGGCTTCTCACCCACTCTCAGCCCCCCAAGACAGAAAGGTGCCACCACTGGAAAAGCAAACCCCAAGTTACATAATTTATTATCCACAGAGGAGGGTTAGTTACATGTGCCATAATTCCTGTTTGAAGATAACAAAATCTTAGTAAAGCCGAAAGCCTGAAGACAGGAGGGACGGGCGCTCCGCGACCTGCCAGTGCAGAGCTGCCGAGGAAGGTTACCCGCAGCCCGCTAAGCACACTGTCTTTTGCTACCCTCGAGTCTCAAGAAAGCCAGCAGGGTGCCGGTCTCCCCCAGAGGCTCTGCACTGTGAAGCCCTCACAGGAGGGTGGGGAGAGAGCCATTCTATTTCCCTTCTTCACTTTCCAACTCTGGCGGTCCAGGAGGGCTGTTCCCATCACATGTTCCTCTTGATGTTCATGATCAGCCTTTTGCTATACTCTCTGTAGTCCACGGGCTTCACGTCCATCACAGTGGCCTTAATGCGAGATTCATCCTTGGAAAAGAGAAAAGCCATTGGTGAGTGGTAGAGCCTGGCATGGAGCGGTGGAGGTAACTGTCTTTGCTCCAGTCGATTCAATGAGTCCAGCAGGAAGAAGGAAGTTAAGAAATTCTGAGTGCTGTGAGTTCCTGGAGATGATCAGTAGCCAGACTCCCCTCTACAGACCCTCTCCCCATCCTTGGCACCCCATGCAGACTCAGCATCCTTCCGGAGCAGCCTCCTCTGGAGGGAGTCTCCAGTCTCTACTGTTTTTAGGTGGCGGCAGAGGGAGTTCAGAGCAGCCAGGTAACTTGCCCTGGAAGCTCATTTTCATCTAGAAAAGCTGAAAAAAGCACCTGAAACTGCAGGGAATCTGCCTTCAGCTCCAGCTCTGGGCTAGGTAACCTCTCTGCTCTTCACCATCCCCGTTCACCCCAGGAAGAGAGAACCCTACAATCGCCTTTAATCCACCTGACTTTCTGATGCTATCACACTAATGTTCATTTAACACAACAACTAATGTATCTATTCACAGGTACTAAGCCGATAACAGCTCAGAATGTACAAGCTCTGTGGCTGCAGGGGGTTGGCAGAACTCTCACTCAGCTTGTCTCCAGGAACTAAACAGTGTCTCTGAGGCAGAACAGGGCGGTATCTAGAGGCACACCAGTCTAGCCGGGGCCTTCATGCTCCCCCATGTGCTTGGTAAATGTACTGATGCTCGAAGTCAGATTGCCTGGCTTGGACTCTTGGCTCTGCCTCTCCATGGCTTTAGGTTCAGTCATTCTCTGTATGCCTACGTCTTTCCATGGTAAAACTGGGCCAAAACTCCACCACAGAAGGTGCTGTAAGGATCGACAGATGACAGATGGATGGGGGGCAGGGCAGTGGCTGTCCAGTAAATGCTGCTTATTATGACTATGCAACTCTATGACATTAGGGCTAATTTAAAGCCTTGTCCAAGGCACTTTTACTAGCACGTGTTATTTGTTTACTATCCTGAAGTTTAAAACCTAAATTGTGGGAAGTAAGAATCTACATACGTTATTTTCTGAAACTATACAGACAACAAAAAAATCTCTTAAGGCTGTAATAGAAAAGGCCATAGATGCTTCTCCCTCAAGTGTTTAGACAAGATGCAACCCCAAGCTGGCTTCTACATGAGCATACAAGCTGCCAACGGCACCGCAGTGCAGGCTGTCAGGCCATAAGTGTGCACGCAGCAGGCCTCCCACCTGTGGGTAATTCCACACAGCGATTCCCACCACAGCCCTCTGTCCCATGACCTTACTTACATTATAGGTCTCCAGCTTGACCCTGATTCTGAACGTAAATGATCGAAAGTTGGCATTCTGGAAAACCTCTTCAAATGCCTGCTCATTCTGTAAAAACAACACATGCAAACTACTGGAAAACACCTATTAAACTGTTGAAGAGACTGAGAAATTATCATCCCCAAAAGTTGAAATTACTTAAGAATGACTAATTTGTAGGTGCTGCTTTACCACATAAAACTAAACAGCCTCCTGCATGCTGTAGTCACGTTAGATTACTTACAATCCCACGCGAGCACTGCATGTATTGCTCAGTGAACGAGAAGGAAAAATCATCTGCACACGGCCAATAAATGTGCAAGTTACTCCCCAAATATGTCTGCTCCCTAGCTGGCTGGATGTGTGGATGCGGGAACAGACTCCACTAAACTCGCAGAAGCAGAACCCTGCCTGTCAGTGCTAGGGAAAGGAAGAGCGGATAACTGTTGCTTAAAGGGCAGGAAAATGGAAACATTCTAGACATGGAAAGTGAAGCCAAAGGCCTGACAACGTGAATAGGGCTAATGCCAATATATATTTCAAAATGATTCCAATAGAAACAGAAAAACAACATAAAATGGTATTTTTATGTATATTTTACCTAAATATACTAAAATTTTTAAACACTTTTAGGAAACACATTCCTAAAAGTTGGAATACTCGTTGGGGAAGATATCCGAGACCCGCCCGTCGTCTCCTCAGCTTGAATTAGGAAGTGGGTATGGGAGGCTGGAGAGTCAGTTTGGTGGTTAAAAGCACACCCCGCTCTTGTGAAGGACAGGCATTTCCTTCCTGGCACCCACATGGTGGCTCAGAACCGCCTGCAGCTCCAGTCCAGGGATCTGACGCCCTTTCCGGGTCTCCTCAGGCACCAGGCGGGGAAGTGGTCAGCCACATATAAACCCGTAGGTAAAACACTCACCCCCAAAGTCAGTCATAGCTGAGCAGGAGCTGGGCCTGGCGGCACAAGCCCAGCCCCAGGAGGGCAGGGGGATGTTTATGAGTTTTGGGGCTATACAGTAAGAACTTGCTCAAATTTAAAAAGATAATAATTAGTTAATAGGAAACAAAACAAAACAGAAAAACCCAAAAAATAACAAAGCCAACACTGAAATAACTGAAGAGGGCTGAGGAAAAGCTAGTCACATTGGCTCAGGCCTGTAATCACAGTATCCCGTAGGCTAAGCAAGAGGAGTGAGAACGAGGCCAGCCTCGGCTACGCAGGCTAGCCTGGGCTACAGAGTGAGAGCCCGGCTCCAAACAAAATGAAACAAAAGAATTGGACGGAAAAAGCACTACAACGAAAATTGTTCACGCTACCACACACTTAACCATTTCAGCCTCTGGGGTGCAGCTTATTGATGTGAGCAGGTGGAGGAGGCGGGTGGGGCGGGCAGCTCCGGAAAAGGCTACAAAATGTCTTCCTCTTCCCCACTCCTTAAACGCTATCAGATTGGCTTACTCTATTGTAATTTTTGTTTGTTTTTCAACAGGGTTTCTCTGTGTAGCCCTGGCTGTCCTGGAACTCACTCTGTAGACCAGGCTGGTGCGGAACTCGGAGATCTGCCTGTCTCTGCCTTCAAGTGCTGGGATTAAAGGCGTGTGCCGTCACTGCCTGTTTTTTTTTTTTTTTTTTTTTTAAAAGCTGGCCTTTTCTTTGAGGTGTGGTGGGGTGATACCACTGAGACACTCAGCCCTTCTGTTTTTAACTTTTGAGACCATGTTCACTAAGTTGCAAGTTGGCCTTTAACTTTCTCCTGCCTCAGACTGTGAGGCATAAAATGAAGGCGCTTAAAACTTTACATAAACTAACAATTCATATAAGCTAAATACCCCTGCAAGTCACACCAGTATGAAAATAGCTTTATCACAGACTTCTTTCTGTAGATGTTATTTGAGAATAAAAAAATCTCCAGGCTTTCAGCATACGAAGAAAACGTGTGAGGCCTTCAACACCTCAGCAGACATCACTGCCCCTTAGGGTGAGAGAGGCCCGGATGCAGACTCCCAGAACAGCATGGTTCCCGAAGGAGTCCCGAATGTCCTCACTCTCCTGTGCTACAACAGTCAACCATAATAAGCTCATAAAAAATCCTGAGAGGCTGCCCGGAGCCTAAAATCTGATATGAAAACACAGGGCAAGGCAAAACAGATAAAAGACAGCATTGCACTTTAAAAGTCAATCCCAGTTATCTCTGTGAAAAGACTTCTTGGGACTATTTTCAGAGACTTCACGGAGGATTTAAAAAGGAGGCAAGGGCAGAGCCAAACAGAACCAAAGACAGAAAAAGTAAGAGAAGCACATCAGAACACAGGACAGAATCTCCACTGCGCCCTTTACAAGTATCTAACGAACACAGAAGAATGGAGGGGAAAGGACACTGTATGTACAGATGCCGACTTCTACGGCCCCAAAAATACAGCTTTTAGTAACTAGTCCTCAACTCAGCCAGTATCTTTCTTACATTTGGTATAGACCCTAAGCTGTTCTCTGCATCTATAAATCTAGTGTATAAAAAGGCAAATTAAAAGGTGAAATTAGTGATTTTAAAAAATGTTTGCTGTTACTGTGTGGCACGCGTTCCAGGTGCACACATGGAGGTCAGAGGACAACTCTGGGACGCCGTTTCTCCTTCTACCTCCACATGGGTTCCAGTCAAGTTGGGTCGTCAGGTGCACAAGGCAAGAGTTTCCCTCACTGAGCCACCTCAGGGGTCCCAACTCACCTCTTTACTACACACACACACACACACACACACACACACACACACACACACACATTTGGGACAGGGTTTTGCTATGCAGTCCAGGCTAGCCTTGAACTCACTAAGTACACTACTAGCTTGGCCGCCTGGAACTCTGGGTGATCCTCCTGCCTCGGCCCAAGCGCTGAGACAACAGGGAAGAACCATCACCACAGCAGGTAAGGTGACTTTTAAAACAAAGCCGCTTCCTGTGACCCTCATGTGATAAAGTACCTGTGTGTGCACTTACTCCAAGGCGGGACTCAACTTTCCTAACAGGTGTTAAAAAGCACACCCGAACCCTGAACCGTCTCAGAAGACACCTTGTAGCTCTCAGTGACTGGAAGTCCTGGGGCAAAGGTGGCTGTGCGCCTGGGTAATGTGACTGTACGTTCCCCACGTCACTACCTATGTCAGATGCACACAAACTGGACAAAAGATGAGTTCTTATTCAGTGCCAGGAGAACCCGTATGCCACACCCAAAGAAGCGCGCAGTAAGCGGCCCAGCGGAGCAGCACTACCTCCCAAAGCTCAGAAACCCACGCCAACCTTCTCCTTCAGCTCCCCGAGGTACGCGGTGCTCTGCCCAAGGATGGCCTCCGCACACTCCTGGAAGCACGTCACCCACTGATTCTCTTGAAAATCTGCAATATTTACCTAAAAAACACAACTCTGTTATTTCAGCAAATAAAAAGCATGAGGAGGAGGGGGGTGCTCTTCTCCTAACGGAACTTCCAAGGGAAAACGACACTGCCATCATAGTCCCCGACTTCAGTGCTTTGCTTTAGAGGCTCCCGCCTCAGTCATCCTGTCTCCCACTTTTCATACAGCGTCAGATAAATCACACAAGCAACCCAACACTTATCACAGAGGAGGCTGTGTTCTGAGCACACTTCAGGGAGGCTCGGCTGAGCGAGCCCCAGTTAACTGCAAGCGCTACTATGCCGGTTCTGTACCACAGGAAGAAGTTTAAACCGCAGTTAGCTCAGTCCTAGAGAGGATTCAGACCTCAGGAGACGGGCCAGCGGAACTCCTGCAAGGCATCAGCCAGCTGCTCCCACTGAACCAAAGTCTGTGCACTGAAGTTATGCATGAGCCACCATAGCGACAGCAGGCTTTTTTTCTGTTATTTTACTTACTTATTTTCTATTTTTGTTTTTTACTTATTTCTGTTTTTTGAGACAGTACATAATGTAGCCCACTCTGCCCTCATCTCCCTGCCTCAGGCTACCAAGGACCGAGTTCACATCTGCATACTTTTTACTCAGTGGGCGCTGTTATGTGGATGAACCAGGAGGCCAGAGACTATATGTCTTTCACGGCTACTCTCCAATCACCCTCTGAGACACTAGGTGAACAGAGCTCAGCAACCGGCTAGGCTGATGCCCGGCAAGCTCCAGGCCTGAAGCTACCTACGTGGGTTGGGGATCTGAACTTGGGTCCTCACACTGGGGTGGTAGGCATTTTAAAGAGCAGTACGAAATGGTTCTAAATCATTTCAACACAGCTAATTTCAAAGCCAGCATTAAAGACCTTCAACCTGCTACCAAATCTACCCAGCAACAGAAATAAGCACCCCATTTATCTATCTTGTTATTTTACAACAGGGTTACTCTGTTTAGCCCTAGCTGTCCTGGAACTTGCTCTATAGACCAAAGATCTGCCTGCTTCTGCCTCTCAAGTGCTGGGATTAAAGGTGCGTGCCACCACCACCCACGACATTTCTGTTTATTTTTTAAGACCCGGTCTCATGTAGCCCAAGCTAGCCAGCTGGCCTTGAACCTGCTTTGTAGCTGAGGATGACTCTGAATGTCTGATCCTCTGCCTCCACCTAAGTACTAGGATTGCAGACACGTGTCATCCACTGAGCCACAATCAGCCTAATAAGCTGTAAACTCTACGGCCATCACAGTCTTCTACTCACTCAGCGGTCAGTCACTAAACAAAGGAACTAATAAAACAAAAGGACATTTAAGATGACTCCAACTTTTCAAAGTAAATAACTTCACACAGCTGTAATATCTCTGATTATCTCTTTAAAATAAATTCCCTGTAGGTGGCTACTGTATCAGTAAATAGAAACATTTGTAAGGCTTTGGACTCATTACTTACTGTCAAACCAAACCAAAGCAGAGTGACAGCAAGAACCACAGTCTGGCACACTCCTCTGAAGCCAGCTCCACTAAGGCTGAAGAAACAGAGTATCCACAAGAGAAATAACACTGACACTGGCTGGTTAGTACGGTACTGCTCTCCAGAAACGTGATTTCATACTAACTTATCTTCACAACAGTTAGGCAAGTGCCACCAACACTGTGACCCAGTATCACAGGAGGCTGCCTTTCCGGCACAGAGAAAGCTTTCAGCAGCAGGAGCGACTGCGGTTCAGCAGGGCAAAGGCCTTCCCTCCTTATTTACAGAGCAGCAGCAAGCTCCAGCATGGACTCAGTTCTGAGTTCCTCACCGAGGCGAGCTCCCCTCCAGGGCTCTACCATCGCACCCCCAGTGTCTTGACCATGACAGTTAGCTGATGAACAACACAAGACTTCTCACGATCCACTCGACTCACCGACAAGATCATGCGGTATTTGAAATTGGGAAATTCCCGGTCACACTTCTCACACCGGTACAGCCCATTCTGCTGGTCAATCACTTTCTTATTGCAGTCCTGAGTTGGGCAGGCCTGGTACATACAGTTCTCTTTGCGAAAAAATACCACCGTTGCCACAGTGCTGAAATAGTCCGCCTGTAGGAAAGAAGGACCACAGAGCCCAGTGTCAGCAAGCCACACTCAGGTCTGGGACAGGCGGCTAGAAGCTGCCCTTCCTTGCAAGTGAGGCGTGCATGTATGTTCTAGTTCCCACACTCACAGAATCGGTCACTCTGTGGTTTCAGAAATCATACATGCTACATGCAAACCCACAGAAGTAACTAACACTCAAGTACATTTTTTTTTTTTTTTTCCAGACAGCATCTCACTAGCTGGCCTTGAACTTACAGTGACTGGTCTGCCTCTGTCTCTAGAGTGCTTAGCCACCACCAGGCCACATAACTTTTAATTTATAGTTCCTATTTGTTGTGTACGTGTATCTCCGTGTGTATGATGTCCTCATGTGTATGAATGCAGGTGAGCATGTGCGTGGCGTATTTGTGGAGGTCAGGAGTCAGTTCTCCACTGTGAGTTTCAGGGAACTCAGGTTTTCAAGATAGCAGGAAAAGTGCCTTTCGAAACCGAGTTATCGTGACAGCACATAATATTTTTAAAATACTTTTCAAAATTACATGTATTTATTCACTGTGTGTATGTGCATTTTTTGTATGTGTACATATATACCACAGCCTGTGTGTGCAGGCCGGAGGACAACTTGTGGGGTTGGTGACTTCCCATGTGAGTGCTGGAGACTGGACTCAAGATGTCAGGCTTGGAGGCAGGTGCCTTCGCTCACTGAGTCACCTTCCTGGCCAAGCACATAATTCTTTACAACAACAGTGAGTTCTACCCTAAGCCTTTCTTGTAACAATCCAGAGAAAAACCTTAGGTCCAATGAGACTTTCGGTCAGTCTCCTCACCCTGCTGCTGTGAGCAAGACAACCTACAGGTAACATCAAGACGAAAGGTAATCAGGTAAAATTCAGCTGTCAGTAACAGACAGCTAGTTCACAGCCTTGACAGGATCAAGTTCAAGGGAATGCAAAAACACCACGACTAAGGCCTTCTAAATGGAAAAATCCCCAGTAAGGACCTACGTCATGTTAAGGGTAGATTACCTGCCTTGAACCCCACACAGAAGCTCTTGGTTTTGGTTTATTCAGTAGACCCTGAATTTAGAGCCAGGCCACCACCCCCACCCCTTTGAGACAGGCTCTCACTATGTAGCCCTGGCTGTCCTGGGCTTCATTCAGACCTACAGACCAGGCTGGCATCAAACTCACAGAGACCCACTTGCCTCTGTCTCCCAAGTGTTGGGATTAAAGGCGTTTGCCACTCTGCCTGGTTCATACTGGCTCTACTTGATGTCTCAGACCAGAGGGGCAAAACAGTGTGACCAGTTAAAGAGACTGCGCTGGTCCCCAGTTTAGACAGCTTTAGGGGTAGAAGCAGTGGGCACAGCGCTGTGCAAGTTTGCCTGGTCTCTCACGCACAAGGGTTTAGCCCTTTAGTTCCACAGAACTGAATATGTAAGACAGCCTGGGGCTGGAGATGGGGTGGGGTGGAGAGATGGATGGGGGTCAAAAGCACTGGCTGCTTTTTATAGAGGACCCAAGTTCCCTTTCCCAGCACCTATATGGTTGCTCACAACTACCATAACTCCAGGTCTAAAGGATCTGGTGCTCTCTTTTTGACTCATTTGGTTCACGTGCAGGGAGAACACTCATATACGTGTAAACAAAGAAAAACAAAACAAAGGGAGCTCAGACTGATATGGCGGCTCAGGGGTGAGGGCAACTGCTACCAAGCAGGATGACCGAGTTTGGTCCCTGGGAACCCCCGGAGGACTTTGACTTCCACACTCAACAGTGGAACATGCACGCCCTACCCCAAAGAAAAAAATAACTTAAAGAGTTAATCTGTATTTCCAGGTTAGATTCAGACTCAAAACTTGTAAGCGTGAGTGCAGACAGGTGTCCTGTGTAATCAGTCCTGATTGTATACTGTCTATCTTTAAAGACAACCAGAATCTAGCCACTGTTGAATTCTCAAGATGCCCCATAACAGTATTATAAGTTGCTGTGTATGACAATGATGGATTAAGTGCACAGTGAAACGAGACAATGAGGAAGAAAATCTATATTGTACATGATGACAAAAAAGGTGGCTGATATTTTGGGAGCACAACAGAAAGAAATGATTTAAACATCCAAGAGACCGCAGGTTAGACCACGGTAGGACGAGGATCATTAATACACACAGAAATGGAAGCTGCACCTGAAGTCAATACCAGAGCCAGTCGCTGGTAGGGCAGCAGCGCCTCTCAGCCTGCGACGCAGTCTAAAACAGGAGCTGCCTGATGCTCAACAACCCGAATTACATTCCGCTCAAACACCCAACACGGACCCAACACTGCACCGCAAAGCTGGGTCATCGCCATTTCCTCAGGATCCAGGAACTCTTCACACCAATCCTGCCTGACACCCCTCAGCACACGCAGCCTCTACACTAGCCATGACTGAGCCGCCAACAACGAAAAGCGAAAAGCAGTAACGTAGAGCTCTGAAGCAGGGCTCTGGGGTCCCAAGGCTCTGGGGTCCCAAGTAAGAACATAACCCTGAGCTGGCACCTGAAAGCAGATTTCAAAACTCAACCGTTTGCCACTTTCTGGGCCTCTGTGAAGTGAGGGGTGTGAGGTACTGCACTTTGAGGGTTCTTCTTTCTTCTATCCTTCTCTACCCTCTTCTTCCACATTTCCAACCCCTATACTAATAGATCAAACTTGCCTGTCAGGATATCTAATTTCTTGATTCTTCTTGGTGCATGACTACTAAACAAACTGCAACCACCAGAATCCACCACCACCCACCCACCCACGAACCTCTAATCATTTATATATATCTGAGAAGTTCCCAGAATTCCCAATACCACATACTTGCAGACACTATCTGCTGCTGGCAAAACCACGCCTCTGCTAGAGCACGAGGCAAATCATAGCCATCCGCTGTGAGGCAGCCCCACACCCCCACACCTGGGGTTAAAAGGAATATTCTTAAAATATTTCTGTGTTTTCAAAAGAAACCCAAATCCCCAAATTTCATGAGGTACCTTGTCTCCCTGACCCAGGTTCTCCGACTTTGCTTCGTACAAAGTCTTCCAGTTGGTGCTGCCTCCTATGGTGCCTCCACTCCTGAGGTCAGAGATGGAAACCCCATCTAAGGCTTTTCCTTCTGAGTCAAACCTGGAAAAAAACAACGTTGATAGGAACCTTACATCCCTCTCAAATGTGCTGTTTGAGTACACCAGCCACCAGCTCTCACTTGGGTCCCAGTCCTTAGTCCACTGAAGAAATGCAATGCCTTTCTTTTGATCTCATTTGCTTTGATGCACCTCCTAACCCTCCCCAACCCCCTATCAAACAGTGCCAAAGCACCACAGCCCCTTTCTCCAAAGTGGGCTGCATATTAACAGCCATGAACAAAGCCAGCAACAGAGAGTAACCCTGGCACAATCCCTCGGGCTTCAAGCCTTCACCTCAATCACCGAAATAAATCAGATGAAAAGGGACATTTTTGTTTAATGAGTCAGCCAAAAATGTTTTCATGGGAGGAAAATCTTTTAAGCCTAATCAGTTATGGAACTCAATGTACGACTCCATCAGAAGGCGTTATGTGCCATGTTAAAGATTTGTATTCTCAGTGGGAATTTGTTTATGCAAATATCAAGGTTAAGTTCATTTATATAAAATTATTATTAAAATTGATTATAACTCTTGACCATCTATTGGCTAACTAACCTGAAGGAAAAGAGGCCAGGTAGCAAGAACACTGTTAGTGGCAGAGAGCAGAGAGCCTGAGATTAAAACCTGGTCAAGCACCCAAGTAGTAGTGATTTAATGCTGGCCACGCAAAGGACTGACTCCCTAAAAAGAGCCCACTCATCAGAGTGGCTGCAAACCATCACCTTTTCACTGTCAGGTACACAGCCACATCCGTCAGAGGACAACAAGGTCCATAGATCTGTTTCACCACTGCCAGCTGCATATGTTCACACTTTCAGAACCAGACATTTGCCTCCAAAGACAGCTCCTCAGGAGTCAACAGAGTAAGGAGACAGGCAGCCCTTCTCACAATGAAAACCCATCCCTTAGTGCCATGACCTAACCGTCGCTGATCCCTGCCTGGGTGGGTGTGTGCACTGAGCTTCCCGTAGGTCGATGACAGGGTATTTTGTTCAGGGGACAGACACGCCTGTTTGTGTTCTCTGTGATCACGGTTACTGACAATGAAATATGAACACCTTACTGTGGGCAAGCAATTAACCTCGAGTTGTGCTCAGAGCCCGGAAGAAAATCAACCGAAAAAAAAACAAACCAACACCACAGTTGTTTTAGGTCAGACTCTTAAGGAGCTCTGTTGTGTAACGCAATGCTAGTTAAATACACGGATGCAGACCACTCCTGACGACGGACTGAGTGACACAGACACCCCAGATGTTCTATCAAACTGGTTTATATCAGACTCAAAACAAAAACAAGGCACATGAAATATGAGCTATTTTTGAGTCCCCTAAACTGTAAGACACAGCTGGAAACCATGCATGACCCCCTGTGACTACAGCTACACAATTTACTAAGCTTGGGCTAGGTAAAGTATTTTCTTTGACCACCTCAATCCTCAGGATGAAGTGCTCTTCCAAGGCACAGTTTAATGCCTTAAAAAGCTAGATATGGTGTGGAGATTTTAACAAGCTCTCCTCCTCTCTCTCGAGTGCTTTGGAAATGACAATGTAAAGCCAACAAAGAGCTCATTGTGTCCATTGTGCTCTATCAGATCCCAGTGAATACACACCAGACGATGTGACCAGCTCAGAGACCCAGCAGAGTAAGATAAAGTGCATTCTCCCCCACATCAGCTGCCCACAGCTCACACGGAGGAGCAACAGATGCTCTCAGCACAGTTCTTCAGCACGCAGCTGCCAAAGTCTTGCCGAGCCCGCTCGGGTGGGCTCAAGGTCAGCATGCAGCACTTACATTCCAACTGCATTCTCCGACATTAGGGAATCACAGGCTTGTCAGTTTAAGGGCTTTCAGGCCATCCCCTCAGAAGGCATAATGCCTCCAAGAAGCACAGAAGCCACTCCATTCAATAGCAGAGGCTTGGCCAACAGCCTGGCTGAGGCCCACAGGCTAATGCTAACCAGCTCTCCCCAGGGCCTGAGCGCAGAAACCCCTCAGCTGAGTTCCACAAAACCTACCATCCACGAAGCTTATAGGCCTCTGGGATGTCAGGATTCACAATGACAGTGCTAGATGATAGGACAGAGAGGCTCCGCCCACCAAAGTCAGAAACTCGGGCTCCTTTGATGGCCATCACAGGCTGCCTAGAACCGTCAAACCTGTCGGCCTGCAAAGCAAAGGCACATAAGCATCACAGCAGGAAGAACGTACAGGGTTATTTTGTTTTGCTTTGTTTTGTTTCATGAGGAACAGTCAGTCGTAGAGGAATGGTTAGTGTAGGTGGACTCGCGATAAGACAGGCTTCACACTCAAGAATCTGCTTAGACTTCCAGGAAAACTAACCCATCTCTACCTTCCTGAGGTAGAGGAAGAAGTCCACCATGGGAAGCTGAAATAATCCATCATCTCACATGTGAAGGATTTCAAATAATTGCTAGACAGCTCTGTACCTGTACTCTGTACTCTGTACCTCTGGAGCCAAAGCCCCAGAGCTCAAAAGGAGAAGCACCGCGCCCACAGACCTCTACCCAATCCAGGACTCACATCTTCTCCCCACAGAGTCGCAGTCACCACTTTCCCTGACTTGTCCATCAAATAGATGTTTCTCTTAGCAACTTCTCTGTTGTTAGACTTCACTGTGATTTTAGTTACATCTTCATAGCTCTTGCAGATCCCAATTATGTCTGAAACAAAGAACAATTTGTAACAGCACAGATTAAGGCTCCTCTTAAAACACGAATGGCAAACCCCATTTGTGCGCCAGTCCACACACTGGGCACATGATCACTGCTCTCTGCCCTCGGCCGCGGACGTACCTACAAGGGAGTCTTTAGACTTGCTCTCTAGGTCACCAATCCCTGTGAAATCAAACTGAACTGTGGGTAAATGATGCCCATCCTCACAGGGGAGGACAGACGTCTCGTTATTGAAGGTCATCTCGTAGTCATTTTTAACGGCTGAGAATTGTTTGTTTGCGATCTTCAGAGTGCCTTTTGAGAAATAATACACCTGCAAAAGAGGCCAAGTCGGGAAATGCTGGCCAGTCCATCAAAACCCCTCCCCACAAAACCCTGCCCGGTACTCATGGCACCCACTGTCCTGCGTGTCAGCTCTGATTCACCACTGTCTCACCTTGTTCACTTCGATAAGGGGAAAGAATTTGTCCACCTGCTCGTTGAAAGCAGTACCTCTGATCTCACCCTGCAAAAGCAAGTGAGAGCACATTACAACCTCGCGGCTAGACTCACTCTGAACAGTAGAGCAGGCTGTTTTGATAGTAAGAGGACGTCTCTGGAGCACCAGTGCAAGTGTAAAGAGATCCTCAGAGAGCTGCAGGCGTTTCAGAAGCTCGTATGTGTAGTCACACTTTCAGGCCCTCAGTTCTGGTAAGAGAAGTTCAGCTGGCTGAGCCTCTAGTTGTAACTGAGCCATCTACGTTAAAACATAAAATAAGGAGGCTGGCAAGCTGGTTCAACAGGTAAAGGTGCTTGCTGTGCAAGCCTGGCCACCCCAGTTCAAGTCCTGAATCTCACGTGTAGGTGGAAGACGATCACTCAACCAAGCTGTTCTTAGCCTTCACACATGTATGTGTGCATGTACACACACTGCAACGATTTTAAAGCTTTACCCAAAACATTTAAGAAGGAAGAGTTGACTATTCCAATAATGAAAACATAAAGTTCTGCTCCTCTGTGACAGGCTCAAAGCCCACGGGAAAGCGTGCCGAACCCCGATGATTCAGCAGTCTTCCCCACGCCTGCAGCCTAAGCGCAGGGTTACTTCACAGTCAGGGGCTGCTGCCAAAACCCTCCTAACAAGTCATGCTTTCAAGTTGATTTCACTGTTACTTTTCTGTCAGGCAATATGTTACAGATGGATAAGAAAGCTAACTAAATGGATGAAATCTTACCCAGAAAATCTGCAGGAAATTAGTTTCCAATCCTGAATCTGCCATCACAGTTAAGATTCTTGCCATGCTATGCCATAACAAGAAGAAGAGGGGAGAAAGCTCCAGAGCTTTGACCTCGACAGTAGCATTTTGTTTGTGTGGTTATTTTGCTGGCATGTCACATCCATGCTTCAGGTCAGAGAGGCCAGGAGAGGGCACTGAACCCCTGAAACTGGAGTCACAGATTGTGGGAACCACCATGTGGGTGCTGGGAATTGAACTCAGGTCCTCTGGAAGAACAGCCAGTGCTCTTGGCTGCTGAGTCATCTCTCTGGCCACTGCATTTTGCTTTAGGTGGGTTTATATAATCAGAAACCACCCAAAGTAGTCAGAGCTGAGCAGCTGTTGCCTGCCTCCTGCGGAAGGCAAATGCCCGCTCTTTAGCAGGTAACACATCCATGGCTTCAACTGAGCCTCCAGCAATGTAATTAGAGCGCGACAGCCCCTCCAGCCTGGGGGACTGTTTACAGTATACTAACTGCTATTGTTAAAAATGTTTTATCTGATGTTTAGCCCTAGACCCTAGACAGTATCAAAATTCCCCGACAGAAAGCTCCAGTGACAAGCATATTTCTCTCTGGCCACTTCATGGGCATCAGAGCTGAGCCCGGATTCGAGGAGGCTGGTGGAGCGTACTCACGCTTTCATCTACAAGCTCTATGGAGAAAAGCTTCCCTTCCCCTCTGGAATTGCTCCAGGTACGAATCTGGCTTTTGTTGGTGACACGGGCACAAATGGTCCACCTAAAAACCAAACAGATAACAGTAGTGTTTGGAGCCTTTTTTACTTGGAATAAAGATAAGCAAGAAATCATCTTCCCATGGCCTTTCTTCTCTCATGCAGAGTCTGTCAATGCTAGCCGTATTTTAATCTAGCTAATTAAAATCCCAAGATGACATACAGGTTTGACAGTTTACAGAAGACGCAAACAGTAAAATATACCAGGTAGTTTAACACTAACTCATTCTCCTGTCAAATAAGTAAATTTATAAACCCTTTCCCTTCCTCAAAAAATATCACCAAGGCAACAATATCTCTTTAATGAAAGGCTCCAAGGAAAAAAAGGCAGTTATAGCAGCAAGTATATTTTGCCACTATTTTCAATTACGGGAACTGACATAATCACTATCAAATGTCTGCCTCATTTCTAATGCATGCCAAATATAAACACAAGGCTACAAAGCATGACATTCATGGGCCACCAAAACAAAGCACCCAAAGTGGTACGACCCAAGAGAGGTCGTACCAAGAGAGGCCATTTCCTTACTTAGAATTTTACAGGGGAGATTATCTTCCCTATTTTACCAAGCATTATGAAAACATCAACAAAAAACATATCTTAAAGAATTCTGGAAAAAAAAAATAATAAGGCCCATTAATGTTCAATGTTTTAATTATTTTTTAATGGAAAAAAGTACTATCAAACCCATGTCTAGGGCATGTTAATATGGCTAATACAAACAGGACAAATTGTCTGAGCCAAATTAAATCACAGTAATGAGTTTCAGACTAAAAGTCACCTATTTATACGAGATGAAATGCGAATTAGCACAAATATGTATCTTTTTATTTGTAAGCCTACCAAGTTATTCTTTAAGCAGTAAATAATTTTAACCTCAAAATGTTCAAAAATGGCAAAATCTCCCCAGGCTATGGCAGAATGCTATTTTGGCCACTCTTTTTGACAAAAGCATTAAAGGTTGTCATAATTTGTATCCTTCTTTAGTTCAGAAAAATAAGAACCACGTCTTATGTAGCAGTGACACAGAAGTTTACATGACAGCCACAGGAATGCACAGTAACTTCCTGACCATTTGGTAAGGACTCCCACACGTCCTGTGAGACCACTCACTTGGATTGGTACGGGGTGAGGCTGGCAATGGGCACCACTCTGGACTGTGTTCCGCCTGAAGGCTGCAGCAGGCCAGTTCCAGCAGGCTTTCCAAATGGCTTTGAGGCACCATAAGCTTTAGCCACAGCAGAACCTGCATAAACACACAGAGAAAGGGCAATTGTGGCACACAGGTGGGGGTGGTAATGACATATGTCAGATGACAATCTCATAAAAGCTAACTTTGTGAGACAGGTTCCCTTTGTTGTGTTCCCATCGCACGTACCAGGTTAGCGGGTACAGGGTTCCAGGGACTGTCCTGTCTCTGATCTCCTGAGAGCGCTGTCATTAGAGACACCCACACTACATTTGGCTTTTATGTGGGTTCTGAGGATTTGAACTCAGATCCTAATGGTTGTGTAGCAAGTCCTTATATTCACTAAGCCATCTCCCTTGCCAGACAACCATTATTTTATTTAGCTTTTAAAATTAATTCTCGGAGAGATGGAGAGATGGCTCAGAGGTTAAGAGCACTGCCTGCTCTTCCAAAGGTCCTGAGTTCAATTCCCCAGCAACCACATGGTGGCTCACAACCATCTATAGTGAGATCTGGTGCCCTCCTCTGGCGTGCAGGCACACATTAAAGCACAATGTTGTATAATAAATAAATCTTACAAAAATTAATTCTCAATATGAACACGCCACAGGCAAGGCTTGATACTAAGGAGCCAGTAGAGGTCCTATACCATCAATTGTTGTCTCAGTACTGCACGGACAGGGCAGGACAGTCTACGGTGAAACTTTCAGGGCGTGTTCAGCTGAGATCAGAGCCAGTTTTTGGTCAAGATCCAAACAAGGAGTCTTGTGCTATGGCTTCCTTGCTTCCCCTTTGCAAGTGACACGGCTGTGTTCTTGCGGCAAGAGTGGGAGACAGAGCCTGATCTACCATTTTCTACACCGAAATGCTTTTCAGAACCATTTTACCTTTTACTCATATGCTCGTGTGCCCTGGAGCCGGAGTGACGAGCATTGGTTGTAAGCCACCTGACATGAGCATTTGGAATCAAACTTAGGAAAGTGATACATGTGCTCTTAAAAAAAGAAAAAAAAGTGTTTTTGTTTTGTTTTGAATGTATTTGAGTGCTCTCTCTGCATGTACACCTGCATGCGGAAGAGGGCACCAGATCTCAGTATAGATGGTTGTGAGCCACCATGTGGTTGCTGGGAATTGAACTCAGGACCACTAGAAAAAGTGTTCTTAACAGCTGAGCCATCTCTCCAGCCCAATATATATGCTCTTAACTATTGAGCCATCTCATCTATCCACACCAAAGCCCCAAACAAGGCCCTTAAGGCAGGGTCTTGTAGCCTTGGCAGGCCAAGTGCTCTAAAAGGCAAGCACCACTAAGCCTGGCCTTTTAAAGAGATTTCTCTAGTTGGGCGTGGTGGCGGACACTGTTAGCTCCAACACTCGTGAGTCAGAGGCAAGTGGGTATTTGAGCTCAAGGCCAGCCTGGTACACAGAGAAGCCCTATTTCAACAAACAAGCATTAAAACATGTTCTACTATCATTTACACAGTGTTTGATGTATGTATGAGAATGTGGGTAGATGACAGTCAAAGAACAACTTCGTGAAATTAAGTCTTTTCACTGTGCGTTCTGAAAGGTCAATAAGGGTTGTCAGGCTTTTTACCAGCTGAGATTTTTAGTGGGCCACCAAATTTTTAATTTCTTTTTTCTTTCTTTTTATTTTATTTTAATTTTTTTTTTACACTTTTTTTTCTTTCTTTTAAAGACAGGATTTCTCTGTGTCCTGGACTCACTTATGTAGACCAGGCTGGCCTCAAACTCACAGAGATCCGCCTGCCTCTGCCTCCCAGGTGCTGGGATTAAAGGTGTGCACTACCACACTTGGCCAAAACTTTTTTTTTTTTTTAAACCAGAATTTGTTTAAGGAAAAGGAATCCATTTCTTGAGCTTCCATGGCATAGACCACACTATTCCTGGGCCTTCAAGTTCTCTGCTCTGGGGAGTCTGAAGGAACGACAGTAGTGACAATGCTCCTCAGGATGGTGCACGAACACAGCCTGCAGAAGGACACGCACCTATGTGTGCGCACACAGGATAAAACCCCGGATTTCACGTCTGGCGATGCGGCTCAGCGGTAGTGCACACTAGTTTAGTACAAACAGGGTCCTGGGTTTAACCAGGGAGGGGGGGCCCTCCCACAATTCTACTCCAGATCCAAAAGCAGCCACTCATTAACTTCATGTCTTTACACCAGGGAGCACCTGTCACACATTTCTTCCATTACCTCCCAGCCTAGGGAACATTAATTGATCATTAAAAAAAAATTCCAATATAAGACTAAAGAATGCCAATGGACAGGAGAGTCTGTGGAGACAGGAGAAGCAATGCACCCTCCGTACTCCAGCTGAGGCAGGGGCTTTTCAGTCACGCAGCACATAGAGAATGGATCCCCCCACCCACTCCAGCAGTTCACAGGGTCAGAGCTGAGGGAGTGTAGCTTCATGGAATCAGAGAGGTGATAGGTTTACACAATCACAGAAGGTGAGTTAGAAAGAATGGAGACTGGCAGGGAGACCTGTGTGTCCTGACAAGTCCTGGAAACTTGGTGACGCCCTACCTCTAACTCTCTTAGGAACCTGCATTAAGAAATAAAAATGGGCACCAGAGAGTTGGCTCAGTAGGTTCAAGTGCCTGTCACCAACCCTGGAGACCTAGGTTCAATCCCTAGGACGCACAACTGACTCGAGCAAGTTGTCTCTGACCTCTATGTGCACACCATGGCAGGCACAGTAAGTAAACAAAACTCTTATATATTATTAAAATATAAAAGCAGAGTTGAAGAGGGAAGCGAGAAGGCAAGTATGATGTGGTAATAAAAACCAATTATAACAAAACTCTAAAAGTAAATTTAGCCATGTTCTACAGATCATAATTTTCAAAGGTGGCATCCCAGACATGAACTTCCTAAAACAAAGGTCAGGAAGTAAACAAAATGATACCATCAAAAGCTGCTACAGAGAAATAAAAGGGGGGGGGGGGGGCGGCTGGGCAGCATAGCAGAGCTGGCCCTGGTTGTGGGCAGGGGGTGTGAGCAGGGAGCCTGGCCTGCCTTTTGTCTGCTATCTGGTAGCATGGGCGAGGGAGAAACACCTCCACCCTTGCTCTTGTCACCTGTAGTAGGCAGGAGAGCTGGCCCTGCCCCTTGCTGGCTGCAGCACCAGATGAGCTAGCCAGGCAGGGTGGGAGAGCTGACCAGCTCTGATCCAGGCCCGGAGCCAGGGCTCTGAGTTGGCCCACCCCAACATCTACCCCGTCTGCTGGAGCATGTGAAGGGCCTGTCCCATGGACAGAGGGCTACAACAGAACATAGGAGGAGTCCCAGTGAGGTTCCAATATTGATAGTACAGCAGGTGCCAGGCCTTGAACTAGACCAATGACTCATAGCAAGAGACATTTGCAAGCAAAGAAGAATGGACAAAGGGGTGTACTGTGAGACACACTGTTATACACTCTAGCTTCCACAGACTTTTTTTCTCTTGGAGGGGGAAGGTTGCAAGAGCGGAGGGCAGGTACGAGGGGGCAAGGAGATGAGTAGGATTGGGGTGCATGGTGTGAAATTTACAAATAAAAAGTTAAAAAAAAAGAGAGAGATGAAAAAAATAGAAGCCATGTCCCAGCTGGGGGAGGGGTCAGTGGTTGCATGCCTGTTATCCCAGAATTCAGGAAGCGGGGGCAGGTGGATCTGTGTGAGTTAAATAAGTAAGTAAGTAAGTAAATAAAGGCAAGCCATGCCAAAAGTAATGGTTCTGTCACAAGGGAAATGATAAAGTCCTACGCATGAGACCTAGAAAACTAAACTAGTAACTTAAAGAGATAAGCCAAATGTAACAAGTGGGTGGTAGGTGGTAAAAAGCTGAGAACTTGAAAAAGAGATTCACACACACACACACACACACACACACAAAAAGGTACAAAATGTAAGGTAAAAAAAGGTGTGTAACTACCAGATAAAGTATTAATCAAGGAGTGTATCTCTGGGACAGAACCGGTATATTTCAACTACCTACATTAAAAAAAATACTGTACAGTAACTGGGATAATTCTTCGCAGTTCCACCATGAACGGAATTTTTTTTGTTTTGATTTTTTGAGAGTTTCATGTAACCCAAGATGGCTCTAAACTTGCTATGCAGTGGGGGATGACACTGAACTTCTGATCCCCTGCCTCCACCTCCCAAGTGCTGGCCAAGCTACTGTGCCTGACCCATGAAGAGAATTTTGAAAACTGTTCAGTCTCAGGAGCAAGTTTTCAAACATTCCAATCTTGACCCATTACTTCCCACACTCTTGTATGGCATCGTAATTACCCGCTCCCAAGCTCCCGTTCTGTGGCTGGGGCTTGCTGGCTGAGGCTGTGGCTGCGGAGGCTGGGGAAGGGGCTGCTTGCTGCTGCCCGTGTCCTAGAGATGAAAACAGAAAGGCCATTTCAGTGCAAAGGCAGTCAAGAGATTTCAACATGAGTACCCTAGAAACCCCACCCCTTTAGCGCCTAAGAGGGGCAGAACATGCTGCATGCTGTGCAAGAATTCACTTTCTTGTCTGTATAAAGTAAAGCTGGTTCCATTTACCTTTCAACTGTTTACAACTGACAGCTTGCAGGGTTAATGAGGTGCTCCCTAAAGCTTGCCCATTTCTCCTTCAACAACCTGCAGTAAAGCCACTGGGTTGGATCTGTGATACACCACTATTTCCATAGCAACAAATCGATGTCATCAACAGGATTCATGGCAGGATCCATCAGGAGAGAAAGCGGGGTGGTAAGGAAAACCTAAAAGCAGCTCAATTGTCTCTCAAGTGCTTTGGCTTCAAAGGAAAAGGAGACGTTCAGAAAGGATTCTACCCTTTCCCCCAAACAAAGCGACCTTATTTTGCACCTGACAGCTCGTGGAAAATATGAGTTGAAAGAGTCTCGGGTACCGTGAAGTGCTAGTGAACTGTCACAGCAGGGAGAGATGAGAACCCAGTTCAGAAGCAGCCGTGTCAAGGCAACAGGGAGATAAAAGGAGGGGAAATGAACATGTCTCTCAAGCAGAAAATAAGAAACGCCACAACCATGAGAGTATGTATTTGCCCTTCACCCTTTAGACAAATGTTTATCAAGTTGAAAAACGTTAAAATTGTAAATTGCCTACCGCTATGTTTTAAAATAACAAGTTTACGAGGCTTGGTTTCATCTCCGTGATTGGCTCTTAAGGCCAAAGTCAGCCTCATTTGGGCTGCTCACTGAAAGTGCTTGCAGCTTATAAGCGCAGCTAAAAAAAAAAAAAAAAAGTTCCAGAGTGCCCCAAACACTAAAAACGGTGAGCACAGGCAGCAAATCGCCCTTGCCACCTCAGCTCTGCCTTCTACAACGCTAAGGTCTAACTCCTCCTGGGCTTCCTAACTCACCGGCATGCTACACACCTATTTAATTCCTTTCTGACAAAATTATCCTTAAGTGGAACAGATGTAATTATGCCACTAAAAAAAAAAAATTCATTTAGCATAAAGTTTAAAAGCTTAAATACAACTGATTATGACTTAGTTCTTCCTATGGAGAGAAAAATTGAGATATCTTATTTATGTAGGAAAAGGGTACAGGCTACTGACAATCAAACACCGCATTTACAGTTTAGCCTTTCTATTTTCTTTGAATTTACAGTCACCCAGCCCAGTGTTAAAGTCTTCTTTTTTTTTTAATTGTTTTTTCAAGCCAGAGTTTCTCTGTGTAGCCTTAGCTGTCTTGGACTTGCTTTGTAGACCAGGTTGGGCTCAAACTCACAGAGATCTGCCTGCCTCTGCCTCCCTGAGTGCTGGGGCTGCAGGCGTGTGCCACCACGCCTGGCTCCATTTTAAAGTCTTAGGTGAAGCTTTTTTAAAATCAGTGAGGAGAAGATAAGTTGCTCAGCAAACAATATTGAAGGCAAGTGGTTAGAAAAAGGCATACACTTACCTGCTGCATAAGGCATACTTTAAAAAGTAAGCTCCTATTCTCCAGCTAAATCCTCCCTTCTTGAAGAAGGATATTTGCATGTGTGTGCGCCTCATGAATATGCTTACACCTGTGTGCAGGTCAGAGGACACTGACAGAGTCAGTATTCTCCCTCCATATGAGTCCTAGGGATGGAACAAAGGCCAACAGGTTTGGGGACACATGCTTTTCACCTGCTGAGCCATTTTCTCAGGCCTCTTCATTTCTACAGTCTCTAAATTATCTAAAGCAAGAAGTCACATTCTCAGAGCTATGCCTGCTAGTTGTGTCTGGCTGAATTGGACATGGTCACTGGACACACATTCACTTTCTATAAAAAGAAAACTGAGGACCAAGGAGACCGCTCGTTTGGCAGAGTAAGCATGAAAACTGAGTGTAATTGCTATGCTGGGGTATGCTGGAGAGGTGTGGAGGACTAGGGAGGCAGAGACAGGCAGATCCCGGGGTGCAATAAACAGCTAACAGAAACCATGAGCTACAGATTCAGTGAGAAAGCCTGTCTAGAAAAAAGGATAGAGTGACCAAGGGAAGACAGGTGACATACAGGTTTGGCTTCCCCACACATACATGTACACAGACATACATACAAAAGTAATCGACCCTCAGAAGGCCTGTGGACCGCTCAAAGTCAGACAGAAAGCAAACAGAGTCACCTGAAACCCAGCATCAGAAGTGGGAACTGGACTGCTGGCTGCATCCGCAGCGTCACTTGGGAAAGATTAAACAATGCAACTGATTTAAGGTCATTGCGCGGTGCACGTAAAAATGGCACGTGGTCAGCTGCAGCGGCACCTGCCTGCAGCTAGAGTTGGCTGAGACAGAACAATAATTGAAGCTGGAGTTCAAGGCCAGCCTAGGTAATGCAGGTAGAGCTCCACCTCAAAGTTGAACAGTAGGTGTGTATTTTACTACAATTTAAGCCCCCTCAAACACATACCCACATGTACCTATTCTAACATGTACATGTCCGTTTTTATATGAATTACAGTCACACTTTTTAGCTGAACATAATACACAATAGTCTCAAGATTCACTGCAGTATATATCCTAATAAGAAGTCTCCAACTGATAACCATCTGAGGCTGGGGTGTAGCTCAATTGGCAGAGCATCTACCCAGCATGCACTAGGCCTGGTAGGTCTGACCTATAACCCCAGCACACGGTGGGGAGAGGCAGGAGGTCAGACATCCATGGCGCTCCTCCTCAGCTACAATGAACCTGAGGCCAGCCTCAGCAACAGTGGCGGCGGCAGCCTTTCGGAGTGTTAGCTCTGGATCAGGGACGATAGTTAAGCACATAATTCCATAAGTGTCAGCACTGTGATGGAGACAGTGCTACATCTTCTAACATGACCGAGGAGAGAAAACCTCACAGCTCTGTCTGGCTAGTTCACGTGCTTCGCCATCATGCAGTTAATTTGTAAACAACCAATCCTGGCAGCAATAACTCTAATTATATAGAACATTAGGAAAAGCTCCTAATCCACTTAATAGAGTAACCTTTATCTCTTGCAAATCTTCTACAAGATACAGTCCTGAACCAAATAATGGCAAGAATTCCAGAGTGTTCTAAATAGCAACGATTGCCCTCCAATTAACGCACTGTAACGTAGCAGCTGCCTACAAGACCTCAAATAAATCAGTCTACAGCCAAGGGAAAGTCTTTCTAAAAGCCAGGACTACTCTGCAAAGCAGCAATGTAGGCTCAGTTTATAATAACCTCTTTTGTGCCACATGCAAATCAAGCCATTCCAGGAAGCTAGATCAACATCGAAATTCTTAGGTTCTCTAGCTCTGCGGCTGCACACCGGCTCTGAGCCAGGAGGGAAACAGATTACAGAAGACACTGCTCCTCCGGTGACCGGCACTCTTACCCAGCATTCTAATAACTATTATGGCAAGTGAGCTGTGGGCAAAGAAAAACTCACACACAAACCCACCAACTTCCCAAGGAAGCACTTTAAAAAAAAAATACAAATAATAAACAGAGCTTGCCGTGGTGGCGCATGCCTTTAATAGCAGCACTTGGGAGGCAGAGGCAAGCGAATCTCTGTGAGTTTGATGCCAGCCTGGTCTGCAGTTCCAGGACCATCAGAGCTACATGGTTAGACACTGTCTCAACTCCCAAACCACTGAAAACAAACAAGGATCAACCCAGGCATGGTGGCGCATGCCTTTGATCCTGGCGCTCAAGGAGGCAGAGGCAGGCAGATCTCTGTGAGTTCGATACCAGCCTGATCTACAAAGTGAGTCCAGAACAGCCAAGGCTACACAGAGAAACCCTGCCTTGGAAAAAAAGAAAAGAAGGATCAATGCAGCATTTCTAAATTCCTGGTGATAGAAATGGACACATTCAGGCTGAACAGAATTCCAATATGAATAATAAACTAAGCACTGTGTAATACATTTAAGTCTAAGCAAGCTATTATCACCAAGAGTGTAGGCACACAGGATCTGCACAGCTATGCACACTGACAAATGCAGCTGCAAGGATGAAAGGTTTAAAATCATCTGTCTACAGTATGTGCAGCATGACTGGGTTTGCGGTGTTCTCTCCCTCACACTTCGGGTCATCTGTCTTTGCTTAATATGGCAGCAGTAGTGAAATGCTCATTTTGCATTTCCATGTATTCTTGAATTCCTACTGATCTGCGTTGGGTTTGGTTCCCAACTCCAAGGGGCACCTAATATATCAGAGGTTCTGGATTAGGTTCCAGAGGACATGAATCTAACTGTAGTTCTGGGCCTACTCAGAAGCTGTTGCTGTGTGAAATGAACTGTACTGCAACGGTCTCTCCAACCAAGATATTTCCCTGGCGGATTAAATAACAGCGCTACTGGGTTGGTAAAAATGACATTCAGTATTAAATAACCCTTGACAGCGAACTCTTTTCTCATCCCTCTGTAATGTAAACAATGCTGAACAGGGAAGGGCCAACAAAGAGGGACATGGGGATTTCCCTACAGCGCTACGGTGCTGACCCCAATCATCTCTATCTTTATTGCAAACATTTGTCCCTGAAATATAGTGTCTGAGGAGCCACTTAGTTAAATAACTCAAAATATGATAGCTGCTAGGTTCCTCCCCATCCCTAAACGTGCTTTTTGTGTGTTTGTTTTTAAGACATTTTCATGTAGTCCAGGCTATCCTGGAACTCAGTATAAAGCTAAGGATGACCTTAAGCTGATTCTCTTGCCTCTACCTCTTGAGTGTTGGGCACAGCCACCAGGCTATTGTTTCATTTTGATGTTGGTTTTTGACTGTTATTTTGAGATGGGCCAGGCTGACTTAAACCTTATAGCAATCCAGTCTTAGCCTCCCTCCAGTGTGCTGGAGAACAGGCCTCTAAAAGTTTTAAATTAGTAATAGTAGTAATAAAGTTGTTTTTTAAGTTTTCAAGACAGGGTTTCTCTATGCAGCTCTGGCTAT